GAGAAAGAAATAATCGTAGATTTGTAATACCGGACCTTCTCGTCAAAATGATAGATACAGTAGGCAGATTTGTAATCAATGCCTCCTCCTGATCGCAAAGCGGACTCGACGTTACAACGGGTCCTTCAACTTTAGCTTTCCACTCATTAACACTCTGCAACAGAATCATGCTCTGTTTCAAGTAACTTTTTCTGAATAAATTTTACATATTATTCAAAAAAGGCCATGTCTTATCATATTATACCATCTCAGAAATCAGAATAGTATGAAAAATTAATGGTTTTTAAGTTTAATACTTCTATATAAAACTCAAATCTGCCGACTTCTTTTTTCTTTCAATGGAATGTATATATTTGTGTGGTTGATGTATATGCCAGTCTTCAATCATCATTTTATGCTTTGAAGAAGGTTTGTGCAGATGGGAAATTTCATATATATGAGAGGTATTTTAAGAGGGAAAAACAATTACTCAAGAGTATGATTGCCATAGCCTCGATAACATTATTAAGAGCAGCACTCGTCAGTAGATTGACATGTTTTTAGTGGGGAAGTCTACACTCGAAAAGAAGGGAGAAGACTCCAACGGTAAATTTCTATGCTCAATATATAGTTTAACTTACAAATGCGTAGATTACAAATTCCTACATTATATCTGGTAGTATAACGTGCGTATGTAGTAGTGTATATTATATGCTTCTGAGATTATAATGGGTTGAAATAGACTTTTGGAAACAAAAAACGGAGGAGAGAAATAGTCTCTTTTTAAATAATGAAAGAAGACTATTTAAACAGATTTAAGCATTCTGGTTAAAAAAAAAAACAGATTTAAGCATAGCTAAGTTAGCAAATTTTCATCTATTTAAATATATTTTTAGATATCATTTTTAAATGTAAATGTGTTTATCTTTTTCCATAAGAAATATTTTCATACTTAAAAATAAAATCTCAACTTTAAGATCATGCAGAAAGTATAATATAAAAGTGAACATGACAAGAGAATAAATGATTTTCAATAATCTTTGCTAAACTCAAAACCAAAATAAAACTACAAAGGAGATGACTTTTTTTTTTTAGACAAAAAGAGAAAAATGTAAAATGAAATTAGAGAAATGAAGTAGGGATGAAGTTATGAAAGTCATTTTTGATTAGTGTGTGAGAAGTCTCTTCGGGGACATATGCTAAAATTAGTGTGTGAGAGAAAAATAGAGATTTTTGCATAAAATATTTTAAGTAAATGAATCGTGGTAAGTTTTAATTAAACATTTTGATTTTGTAAAACAATTACACATGTCAAAATTTTATTGTTTGAATGACTCATGTTTTAATATATAAAGACTTACATTCAGTCTACTAGACCTTCTATTTACATCATACTAGGTGTTTTGCCCACATTTGCGGGCTTAATAATTTTACCAATATTTATAAATAAATATATAATCAATTTAAATAAATTATAATCAATTATTGTTCATATACTTAAAATATTCAAAAGAAAACTAAACAAATTCTTTCTAAATATAAACTTTTTATCATCATATAAATAATTTTCATTACACAAATTAAATTTGAAAATACTCATAAATTTAAAATATTTAGAAATAAATTATTATCATTTTTAGACATAACAAAAAAATATAATAAAATTATCTTTAGTAATGTTTTGGATAACACAGTATAAATTATCTATACATAAATTCTTTGTGAATATATAATTATTTTTCAAGGTTAATAAAGACTTTATAACACAATATAAAAAAGTTAGATAATGATAATTATCAAATTCATGAAATTTGTTTTTAATTTAAAATTAATTATATATTAACAAATATGATTATTTTTCAAGCTTGATAAAAAATTTATAACATAATATAAAAAATTAAATAATGATAATTATCAAATAAATGAAATTCGTTTTTAATTTTTAATTAATTATATATTAGCAAATATAATGATTTTTCAAGGTTAATAAAGACTTTATAACCCAATATAAAATAGTTTTAGATAAATATAAATCTAAAATCATTGAAATTTATATTTTTATTTATGTTTAATTATAGATTGAAATTATTAATTATTCATTAAGAGTATAAACGATTTTAACCCGTCTAACTCTTAACGTGAGAGCTCCGTTGCAAAAAACCACTTCGCAAATAATATTATTGAAATTATTAATTATTCATTAAGAGTATAAACGATATTAGCCAGTCTAACTTTTAACGTGAGAGCTCCGTTGCAAAAAACCACTTCGCAAATAATAGTATATATATATATATATCACAAATTGTGTATCATAAAATAATTAATGTGATATAAATCAAATACAAATTAAATAAACAGAAATAAAATATAAGTATGAGGCACATACATTTTATTAATACTGTTAGCACATTTTTATTTGTATCCTAGTATAAATAAAATATCAATGACTCATTTGATGTTTGATGGCAACTGATGTACTGGACCGCGGGCCTGGCCCATAAGGGTTTGCTATGGGGCGGGATTGGGTAGAGAAATTCACAGCCCGCAGAAAAGCGGGCCTTGCGGGATGGGTTTGTTCAGGACCGGGTTTAAAGTGGGAAAAGCCCACAGTGATCCGCGGGTTACCCAAGATCCCGCATCCCTAACTTCATTTGCCGATGTGTCCATCACCGGAAGAAATGGAGTTCCGACGATGGCCGTATGATCTCCGGTGCTTCTGGTCACCACATCTTCTTCGATCTGCGGCAGAGAAGCTAAACAGAGAAATCTCCAACAAAGTCGATTCTTCTTCTTCGATGTTTCTTCATGAGCTTCTAATAAGCTTATGGTTTATGTTTATAATAACTAAAGGAACCTAAAGCCTTCACAAATCGGACATGCATGTACAACGAAGATCGTTCGTTTTTCTCCTCAACTCATTATTCGTTTGTCATTTCTGGTAACTTCCATTGTCTTCTGATTATCTTGTATTGAAAACATAATAGGTTTGCAGTACCTGGAAGCTGTTCTTGCCGCTTCACTTGTACCAGTAAATGAGATCCCTCCCACCAAGTAAGTATATTGTTTTGAGACTTTGTGAATTTTTGTGAATATTTTTTGTTTGTTCTTGGTTGTGTTGGAGATGGTTGATTGTCATGTGGTTTTGTTTGGCAGGCTTGGTCACCGTTTTGTTTTGGGTCTGATGTTGATTCTGGTGAAAAGGAGATATCAGTGAAAAGCTCATGTAAGGACGGGGTCTCCTCTTTTGAGATAGCTTTTTGTTTCTTGTGATTAATTGTTTTGTATTTTTAGAGTTTCAAGAGCTGATTCAGAACATGAACAAGGGAGTTGATGAGTCTGAGGAATCTGATTTAAAGGCCTGTGCATTTGTTTGTACGCAACTTGAGAAGTTTGCAGCCTTTCATATAGCTTGTTGCAGTCCCTGGGAAACATGTTCCTGTTCAAGTATCTTGTTCATTTTCTTAAGTTAGATTTCACTCCTCGAAACCAAGTGTTTGAAGGTACAAATCGTTATCTTCGTAGTTTCAAATTTTCTCTGCATTATGTATATAGTCTGGTGATAGTTACATAAGCATGTGTCTTTTTGCGTTCCAGAAACCATGAACTGGAGTCTTTTAAAGGAATCTTCGCTGAATCTACTTCTGGTACATCCCATAATTAAATGGCTCAGAAACTAGTGTAGTCATTTAATTTATCCGTGATGTAATGCTTATGTTTCCCTTTGTACGCTTCAAGAAAAGTCAATGTAAGTCTTTCTCTAGTCCCTTGCCTAAGTCGTTTTTTAATAATAATCTTCGTTTAATTTGCTTATACTTCGATTCTATTTTCTATAAACAGATACGTGCAGGTTCTGCTCTCCGTATATATAAGTCCAGTATTTGCCACTGGAGCATTCATTGTTCCAACATCTCTTTACTTTTTGTTAAAGGTGAGAGTGATTGAAACCTCTAAGTATCTACTCTTACCCTCTGGTTATTGGATTTTTTTCCTTTACTAGAGTTTCTGCTGTTCGACTCAGAAATTAATGTTGTGACTTGTTCTAGGTTCTAAGAGAGAACATCCAACAAGAGTATTGTGACGTTGTTGATAGACGTATTTTTACAGGTATGTATGTACGTTGATGATTGCTTTATTTATTCTCTTCTGCTCTCTTATAATTCCTGTGTGTGTTTATTTACATTAGTAATAGGAAGATTAAAATTTTAAGTATCAATAACGATGATGCATATCAGATTTATGTTTGGTGGCTCAGTTGAAACATACTCTTGTTTATGTTTATCGTGCAGGAAGAAGCAGACTGTAATATCCGATGTTCCGCGGGACAGTTCGCGAAGGCCTACAAAGATTGCGGTACGGGATTGGGCAGCTGTTTTCAGGACCGCATCCCGCGCGGGACAGGCCCGCCGTGTCCCGTTGGAAGATGAACCCGCAGCGGTCCGGGACGGGACGGGATGGGAGAGCCCAATTGCCATCTCTAAGCAGTAGTAGCAATAACACGCACTAATTCAACTTGCTTAGTATGGGTAAACACAACATCACACTAGAGATGGCAATTGGGCTTTCCCGTCCCGTTCCGTCCCGTACCGCGGCGGGTTCATCGTCGAGCGGGTCACGGCGGGCCTGTCCCGCGCGGGCTGCGGTCTTCCAAATGGCTACCCAATCCCGTACCGTATAATTTATAAGCCTTCGCGGGCCGTCCCGCGGGACGTCTCCTTCAGCTTCCTTCATGAATATTAAAGTAGAAGAGTTGTGTAAAGAAGTTGAAGAGAGCTGAACAACATCGATCACAACAACATCTAATGTGATCACTCGCTGGTTTAATGGTCTTGAAGTAAGTGAGAGCCATTTGGACAGTAAAATTTAACTCTTTTAAGAATATTCCTTGTTTGATTCTTTGTAAAGCAACGTCACTTCATAGCAAAAATAATTTAATACTAATGTTTCTTCTTCTCTTTCAACCAAGCTGTTAAACTTAGAGTGTGACAAAATTCTGCAGTAACCCAAACTCTCATTTCGAGTCGTTAAAAGAACAAACAGTAGCTCGTCAACAAGCAGTAACTCTTTAAAAACATCATTGTAACAAAATTTAATTTTTTTTTTAAAACGACAATACTGAAAACAAATTCATCAACTTAAACAAGAAAATTTCACACAGTAATAAGGCAATTTATAGTACTGAAAACAAAACCAAACATAAATGAGGACTTATGGTAGCGGGTCTTCAAAATCCCGCGGGTTAACCTGTCCCGCATTTGGCCCGTCCCGTTTTGAGCCCGTCCCGCATTCGGCCCATCCCATTTTGAGCCTGTCCCGCGAAGCCCGCAATTTTGCGGGCTTATCAAATGAAGGCCCAATCCCGCTCCGCAGCAAGCCTTTACGGGCCAGGCCCGCGGTACAGGTCTTTGATTGCCATCCCTACATCACACCATTCAACCGTTCCACATATCTCCAATCTTTGGCGTCTTTCAAGTGAAATTTCAGCACACCAAACTAATGTTTTGTTTTGAACATTCTTAGTATGCCCATGTTCTTCCCACAAAAACACCATTTTCCCACCATAATCTTCCAATCGATAATTATCAGTATTACGAGAGTGAGGTAGTTTTCCTTCCAATCCCTGCACTTTTCTCCATAGTCTATCAATAAAGTCATACCAAGTGACATCTCCAGAATCATAACGGTACACCACATTCTCTATCACACGACATAACGGTGGAAGCATAGTTGCACATCCCATAGTCAATGCTAGGTCTGCCGCTCTCCATTTACCTTTATGCAGCTTGTAAGTTTTCCTTTTTCTCTCGGATTGCACGTAGATACTTCCTTCCACCGCTACATTTTCGTAGTGCTCAAAGCTATCACCTATCTCTTGGCCAGGACTCGGCAAAAACGCCCAAGTTTTGGTTTTGGTATCGAATACCTCCATCCAGTTTGTATAATCAAGTTTTCCCCATTCTCCACTTGACACATATTTTCCCATCAAGAACGCTAGCAGAAGGACACACCCTAGCCACATGCATACTTGGGGCCTTGCACCATATGTGATAGTGAGTATCCATGACGAAAACGCTAGACGAAGAAACACCATCTATAATTCCACCAAGGGCATATATATCAGAGCCAACTGCAGCAAATCCTGACATGGCTAAGGGAGGAAAATCTAAAGATTGAACTGGAGCTAATCTATAGTCGCATAATTTATTCGTTTGGGAGTTATCATCCATGGTTTGATAAGGGTTCCGGTATAAATTGAACCAATGTTTGTTCCCTTCATTTTTGAACTGAAAACATACATATAGACAACTCTCGGTGCGAGCTAAAAGTGACCGAGTCTTACAAAGCTCTGGCGAATTAATGAGGGAGCGAAAGCTTTTGGATACAAGGGTGAGAGTCAGATAGTACGATCTCGGGACGCGGGCCAAGCAGCTCAATATCAATTCTTCAGGAAGCATCAGCAACGTTAGAACAGGTGGAACATCAACCTTCATGGCAGCGGTGGAGGTTATAGTTGTGGATGACATTAACAAAATTTTCTATTGCTTTATGTGACTGATTAATGTTTTTGTGCTAAATTGCAGATTTTATTTATAGTATTTTGTGGTTCTTATTTTTTTGAAAAGAATTTTTTTTTTGGTTAAATCTTGTCATAAATCTTATATATTATTCATTTATATAATACAGATTACAGACATATATAGAAGGATATGTAAGTAATTTAAAGATTTGTAAGATTTTGGGAAGATCCTCTTTAAAACAAATCATCCAGATTAGGGGTTTTAAAAAATTGAGAGACTTTAGATTTGGTGGAATTTAAATGTTTTTTTGAGGATTTTGATGGTGGTTTTGTTAGTATTTTGAGGATTCTGGTAACATATTTTAGGATATGTGCAAAGAAATCATATAGTTTAAAAATGCAAAAAAAAATCCTACCAAAAAAAAATCATATGATTTTTTAAACTATATGTAGGATTTTAGATTTTGGATGTAATTACCCAGCAAAACAGACCCCCTATTAAAATTGAAGGATCTTAGATTAAATTACATCCAACTTCATATAGCTTAATTCTAAATGCATTAACAAATTCTTACACATGTTAAAATAATAATTTATCTGACTGCAAAAAAGTATTTAACCAGATTTTAGACACATTTAAGAAAAGTTAATTAAATTTCTATGTTCAACGTTTCTTTTGAAACTATAATAATCTTTAGAACAGGTGGAACTTCAACCTTCATCGTGGTGTGGAGGCTATAGTTGTTGACAACATTAAAAAAGTTTCTTATTGCTTTATGTGATTTATTTAAGTCTTGTGCTAAATTTGTAGATTTATACATTGTTTTGGGTTATTTATTTTTGGACAGAAATCTTTATTGGTCAATCTTAATATAAAATCTTAGTATTAATTATTGAATTTATGTAATAGAGATTACAAGCATAAAATTATTTATTGGTAAAACTATCTATACTATTAAAGCAAAATACCTATTAAGATTTTGCCATTATTTCTCTTCATAATTCATTGTCATGTCATTACTTAATTTTTAACATAATCTCTAATAAGAAATATTACTAAATAATAGCTAACCACTTTATCCAATCCTAAATTCCCAACACCTTTAATTAAATTATTAAAAAAATTCAGTCAAAAAAATTGAAATAAATACATAAAACATATCACGGTTCTGAATAATTTAAAATTTTCTAAATTTTACTTCACATAAGAAAAAGAAACCATAATAAATTTTATACATATTTTTTATAATTATATAAAAAAATTATAAATAAATTATAAAAATATAATTTTTGTTACTTAGAAATATTTAGCTTAGATTAATCACTCTTTTAAAAGTGCGGGTCAAAATCTTGTTATTAGTTAAATCTTATTAAAAAATCTTATTACATAATTTTTATTAGTTATTGAATTTATATAATACAGATTACAGACATAAAATAATCTATATGTCCAAATAATGAAGATACCTTATTGGATATATGTTGAATATTATGTTAAATGTTTCTCTTAATGTTTTAAGGTAATTAATACATATATATTAGAAGAATTTGAATACATCAAATTAATGAAAACTTATTGAGATGACTAGCTACATCAAAAATTCTTCTGAAATGAATAAACATTGCAATTTGAGAAATTTCTAATAAACATTGATAAAGCAAAGTTCTCAAAAGATTGTAAAAAAAAGATTTTTTGACTTGAAAATACAAAAAGTCGAAAGTAATCATTCACTAAAGGATGAAATGACAACTATACCCTTATTCGATAGATTTATAATTATTTAAATAAATACTAAAACAAAAATATTTTCCGAAAAACTTTATTCAATTAACAAAATCGATTTTCAAAAATTTGACTTCTAATATTTTATAAAAAAATGTTTGAGGTCCAAAAATTCATTTATTTTTTTTCTTAAATTATTAGTATAAATTTTAAATCTTAGTTATATATATATACATATATAAATATTTAAAACTCCTAAACCCCATCCTCAAAACTCCCACCACAAATCTAAACCTAAATATATATTTAACCCAATGAATATAAGTGTCTTTTCACCTTTTTGTGAAAACTATTTTAGTCATTTTGACTCATATGTGTGATAAATTTATTATAAATACTTTTTAGAGCTATCTTAGAATATTAATTTACAGAAATACTTCAACCATCTCTAATTTTCTACTATACTAGAATAAGACTTGCGCTTTGTTCAGGGTGAGCGTATGTAATTAAATATATAAAAGTATAGTATTGATAAATTTAAAATTTACATTTAATTGTTTTCATATGTATTTGCAATTTTGGAATTTTTATATAATTATCCATACGTATGATCAGAACCAATTATAATTAGAACTGTATATCAAAATTTAGAATTTAATGGATCCGGTTCATATTTTTTTTTCACTTTTTAGTGTTAGTGTGATGAAATATAAACAGAGTGTCACAAGACTTAATTGGTAGAGTATTATCAAGTTCTCTAATGCTTTCTTAAGAAGCAGTTGGTAGAATATTTGCATTTAGAATATATCAAGTTTCAAAACTAATTTAATATAATTTATTTATTTGTCTAATAATATCAGAAAATCATATTTTAAAAATATTTTTTAATAAAAAATAAATTTAAAATTTAAATTATCATTATGTTTAAAATACAATTATTTATTCATACGATATGAGATATATATATATATATTAACATAAGCACCTATCAAAATAAAATTATTTATTCATATGATTTTATAATCATTGTAATTTATTATTGAAAAAAAATTAGACCTTGATCACAAAAGTGTATGTGAGATTTTTAACAGTTTTAGTAATTTATACTCGTTTTGAAAGTTTCAAAATACAACATATATAAAAAAATCTAAATTACTGTATGATTAGTGTAGTTGTGTAATTTATTTTAATAATAAAAAATTAAACAAAAATGATATAAAGTATACAAATTGTTAACAAATCTTTATTATTTAAAATCATTAATAGTCATATATATGTTAATCACATTAGGTAATTCTGTAGGTTTTATTTAAGGAAAAAATATATAGAAGATTTAGTTTGATATGTTATTTAGTTTGATATGTCTTATATGAGACCAACATACTTTATTTTAAAACTATGTTTTATATAAAATGTTCTAGATTTCTTCTAAATTGAAATAGAATGCATAGAAAAGTGTCACATAAGATGGATTATTTTTTAATTAATACAAATCTTCAAATGTTTCTCAATTAATATATAAGGGATTCTTTAGTAAACATGAGATTAATCCAAAATGAAGTAATAATTTTACTTTTTGTTCATTCATTATTTTTTTTCTTTTTTACTTCAAAATGGAGTAAGAATGGGAGTAAAATTCAGTTTTACTATAAAATTATTTTATTTTGAAGTAAAAAATGAAGTGATACATTAAAGATGTTTTTAATCAGCACTTCCACCACAGAAATTAAAATCATGATACTAAAGTGTTTAATTTACTTTGAAAAATTGTATAAATGATTCCTTAAAAACACTGACTCCTATTACATACAAAGTTCCCAGTCGATAACATTATTCTTAGGGCTGAACAGGCCTGTTTCATCTTGGGGAGAATTTTATTGTCATAATTTACACAGTTGATGCTAAACACATCAAACATACGGTTTTTGTTTTTGAGTCCACCATGGAGCCGGCCGTGACAAGAGAGTAATCAGGATTGGGTTTACCAGGGAATAACGGAAGCGCGCACAAGATAAACCTAATAATGCAAGGTTTCTTGGTGGGCACATACCAATCATTTGGCTTGCTAAGCCAACATAGAGTACAGATTTTGAGCGTGTAATGCGAGATCTAAATTATACTTGCATCTATTTTTTTCTTTATAACAAAAATAATATCTAGGAGAAATTTAAAAGAAAAATACTAGTATTTTTTTGGAAAATATAAATACTAAAAATTGATTTTTTTCATAAAACTTATATAAGTGTTGATCGAATCTTCGATCACACATGATTTATAATAGTTTAAACAGAATATAAACTAAAACGTAAAAAATATTTCATATTAATTTTATATATTCAAATTGCGACTTGATATTTAGTGTATTTCTTAAATCCAGGATAAATTTGTAAATGATTTTTTTTTTTTTGCAGAAAACTCTAATATAATAAGAAAAACAAAATTCAAAACAGAAATAACATACTTGCATAAAATATTAATTACTCATTTGATGTTGACTGAAGCCTAATTAAGTCATTCATCAAGAAGTAGTAGCAATAACATGCATTAAACCACTTTTATTAGTATATGTAAACACAACATCACACTATTCAACTGTTCCACATATCTTCGATCAGGTGAAATTTCAGCACACCAAACTAATGATGTGTTTTGAACATTAGTATGCACATGCTCTTCCCACAAAAACAACAACTTTCCACCATAATCTACTGATCGATGATGAGCCGTATTATTACTATCCAGTATTCCTTTCAATCCTTTCATTTTTCTCTATTGTCTATCAATAAAGTCATACCAAGTGACTACTATGAAACTATAATAGTCTAATACGTTCTCTGTCACACAATAATAACACGGTTCCCAGTCCCATCTCCATCCACTAGTCAACTTTTGGCTTGCACTCTCCATCTACCTTTATTGAGCTCGAAAGTTTCATTTTTTTCCCTACACATAACACTTCCTTCCATTGATATGCTTTTGTATCCAAAGTGTCCGCCTATATCTTCGCTAGGACTCAGTACAAACTCCCAAGTTTGGGTTTTGGTATGGTACACCTTCATCCAGTTTGTATAATCAAGATTACTTACAGTATATACTCGCGAGTTAAGAACTTCTAAAGTGTCAAGAACTACCAAAAGGTGTTAACATCTAATTCTAATGGAAGTGTGAATGCTATATTCATTGATACTTGAAGTGTGAATGCTATATGCATTCAATGCATGTAATGCCAAACATCTGCCAGACAAGGGCACATGCCCCAGCGTAAAAAAACGTTATAAGCTACAATCTCCACCAGCTGTAATTTTGTATATAATTAAAAAAATTACACGATTCATGGACCTCGACACATTTATAAAGGGCACAAATTAGCTTAGATCAGTCCATCTATCATCATTACACTAAACAAGAACAAGTAGAGATAACACAACATGAGTACTGGCTACTCCAAAATGGATTCAACCGACAACAACCCCGACCCGGTCGATCTCCAGACCCAGAAACCCGATCAAGAACCTGCCGAGATGAAACCGAGGCTGAGCAGGAACAGGTCAGTGGCTGCATCAGGGAAAGTGCTTCATTCACCAATGAAGACTGCTATGTCTATGAGAAGATCTTCTTCTGTCTCTGAACGTTACTGTAGAATCTATGACCAGAGCTCAGTCACGTTTCCTCTTCCTTTCAATGAAGAAGATGAAGATGATGATAAAGAGAGGATGCATAAAAAGAAGAAGAGCAACAACATCAAGAAAAAAGCATTCGTAAAGGCTTGTAAGCGATTCTTTGGGATCTCTTGAAACTTTTTTTTTTGTTTAACTCACTTGTCTCTATCTACAATATAATATAGATCTGTTTGTTATATTTCGATTAAAGACTTACCACTTTTTATGAAACGTTTAACACAAGAAAATGCATCTTACAATATCTATCGACTGTTTCAAATATTCGCTCATTGATTTTGACGTATTCTACTTTCTTGATAACATTAGACTATATATGACTTTTATCTTGTTTTGAAACCCAAGAACTATCAAGAAATCTAAAAGAGTATGAGTATTTTCATGTATTCATTAACGAATCCTGAGACCAATATATATACATATCGATCTAACTTAGGCTCCAACAGATTTGGAAGATTACTATAACCAAATGTATACCAGTATATGTATATACTCAAAGCTATGGAGTGGAGTGTATCCGTTATACAAACCGATACTATGGATCAACCATTGCGTTTCGTAAGTCTGAGTCCATCTAAACAACAAGAAAATCTCTCTGTCTAAAGATAATGATCATTTCATATAACCATTAAGATTAGTAAATTGAATATTATTATTTAACTGGAAGATGAAGATGACCCTTGACTCCAAGATTGTCTTTTAGTGTAAAACTCGACCAAGAATCGTCGAGCCCCATGCACTTGCACATGGAGTTCGTTTTTTTTTTTGTGGGGTTTCTAAGTTTTAAAATAATATTTTCATCATTTCCTAAGGACAAAATGTTTTAGATTACTACATTTTAGGAATATCGCCGAGTTAATTGACAGTTTTGAAGTCCAAAAGCTTCAAGTCTGTAGGAATTGCTTCTTCATATTTAGTGAAGATCTTGTACGTATGCTCTTTGATGATTTTTCTAATAAAATAACACTATCTCCTACAAGAAAATTGATTTTAGATCTTGACTTATTTTCGTGGGACTATAAGCAATGCATGTGAACATATCTTTGTCGTTCGATGGAGGATGTTCTACACAATAACTTGTTGCATTCTTCTCTCTCACACACACTAACCTTAATAAAGATACACATGAAAATGCGTACACAATCTATCAACGAAGAAGAATGCATAAGTAATTCCTCAATGTATAAATCTAATTCCAAGTGGGCAACTAACAATCACACCTTTTCACAAAAAAAAAAAAAACACAACCACACCTATTGTAGTGTCTTCTGGAGCTCAAAGTAATTTCATATATATATTAAAAGAGAATCATTTAAAAAGTTATAAACTTAAATTTGTAATAACTGAAAATAACCTCAATCCTATGTGGTATAGTTCTTTGTCTTCCATTTCAATTTAGAAAGATTCTAGAGCATGTAATATAATGTATAGTCTAAAAATTATACTCTCTATCAATATAATATTTCATAGGCTATAGTTGGTCACATATATCAAATATTTATTGTTTCGCATGATTTCCTTATATAAAACCTACGGAATTACCTAATGTGATTTAAATATATATATATATATATATATATATATATGACAATTAGTGATTTTATACATTAAAGATTTGATAACAATCTGTATACATTTTCTCATTTTGTTTATTTCTTTATTATTAAAATAAATTACACAATTACATTAATCAATAATAAAAATCTAGATTTTTTTTGTGTATGTTGTATTTCAAATTTTTCAAATGAGTATAAATTACTAAAACTGTTAAAAGTCTCACATAAACTTTTAGGTCAAGGTTTTAATTTTTTCTATATTAAAATATAATGATTATAAGATCATATGAAGAAATAATTTTAGTTTATATATATTTCATATCGTTTAAATTAAACATCGTATGAAAATACATACTTATATTTTGGTATTTGCATTGAACATATATTGAAAAGTTAATATTTTAATTTTGAAATATGTCATTGTTTTTTTTGAAAATGATTATAAATTAATGAAACTACTAAACATCTCACATTAAAATAATTTCGTTGGTGTAAAGTTTTGATACATAAATATGCAAATAATCATAAAATTATATGAGTAAAAACTCATTTAATAAATATCCATATTAAAAGTGTGCTATATTACGATGTTTATATCATTTAAATTTAATTATATATCATATACAATATATAAGATTGATTATTTTTATTTATTTACCCTAATTGCGAATATACAAGAGTGATAGTTAAATTTATATGTATACGCCAATTTATTACATAATAGTAACTGATTTCTTAGTTATTCAATATGTATATATTTATTATTTTATAATATGCGGAAAAATATAAAGTAAATAATAAATATAAAATACTCATTGTGCATAAAAGGCAGATCTTAACCTAAGTATGTATCTTTTTAATTATTTTGAATCGTAAGATTGTCTAAATCCCATGTTAAAACAAAAAAAAATGAAATGAGAATAAACTTCAAAATAAATATTTATATCGAGTAATAACCAAAATAAAAAAAAACACAACAAGAGAAAAAATTGAAGATAAATAGGATTGACACGTGAACGTAAACTTCACATAACCATTAATTAATTTTTAAATCAGTATGGTTATGTTAAAGCATGACCATAGTTAATGTTAAATTGTTTATTTATATTTGAAAAAATTAAAATATTGTTTTTAAAAATAATTTTAAATTTTAACTTATTTTTTTTTATAAATTTACAAAAAAATTTGTAAAAAAATATAACTTTATTAGACAGATAAATAAATGATATTAAATTAGTTTTGAAACTTTATATATTTTAAATACAAATATTTTACCAACTGTTTATTAAGAAAGCATTAGAGAATTTGCTAATACTCTACCAATCAAGTCTAGTGACACTCCGTTCATTTTTCATCACTCAAACACTGAAAAGTGAAAATATATATGAAATCGGGTCCATTAAATTCTAAGCTTTGATCTACAGTTCTAATTACAATTTTTTCTGATTCTACGTATAGATAATTATATAAAAATTCTAAAATTCTAAAATTTCAAACACATAGAAAAACAACCATATGTAAATTTTAAATTTGCCAATATTAAAATTTTATATTTTAATTACATATATTCACCCTTCGCAAGACACATGTCTTATTCTAGTTTGTGTTAAAAGAAAAACTTATGTTATTTAAACATGTTTATTTTTTAAAAAATAAGAAATATTTTCTTAATCTTAAGAAATTTATGGTGAAGGTTTTGGTGGAAATCCATCTGATTAATGGAATTTTTATGCATTGTTCTTTGGAGGCTGATTGCGTCAGATCAGGTACTATAAATGGATTTTTACTGTGTTTAGTTAAAAATAAAATTAAAAAATCACAAAGTTAACGAAAAAATATTATAAAAAATCAATTCACTAACAATCTTGTTAAATTAAATACTATACTAAAATAAATACACCCCATCAGAATTTTGATAAAACAAATGTATGTTTTGTGTAAAGAGGGAGATGATACAGTTAATGGGCTTTTGAAGCCCATACAAGGCCCCTTCCAGAATCTTCTACCGCCACACTCCAGTCTCCACCGTTTTCTTATCTTCTTCCTCCTCCTCTTCTTACCTACCACCACACCACTAGGGTTTCTCTTCAACAGCTCCTTCTCATTTCTCTCCCTCTCTCATCACCTCTCCTCCTCTCCTAACCTCAAAAGAAATGGCTTCCTCCACCGCCCAAATCCACGTCCTCGGCGGAATCGGATTCGCCACATCTTCCAAGAGAAACCTCAACGCTAAATCCAATCTCAAGCCACGAAGCGCCTTCTTCGGCACCAGAGCCACCGGTGGTCCTTTCTCCACCCAAACCTCCGCCTTCCTCAAAATGAACACCACCAGAAAAGGCTCCAGATACGCCACAGGTCCTCTCCGCGTAGCGAACGAGAAGGTCGTCGGAATCGATTTGGGAACGACGAACTCCGCCGTGGCGGCTATGGAAGGAGGGAAGCCGACGATTGTGACGAACGCCGAAGGTCAGAGGACGACTCCTTCTGTTGTGGCGTATACGAAGAGTGGGGATAGGCTTGTGGGGCAGATTGCGAAGAGGCAGGCGGTTGTTAATCCGGAGAACACGTTTTTCTCGGTGAAGAGGTTTATTGGGAGGAGGATGAATGAGGTTGATGAGGAGGCGAAGCAGGTTTCTTACAGAGTTGTGAAGGATGAGAATGGGAATGTTAAGCTTGAGTGTCCTGCTATTGGGAAACAGTTTGCTGCTGAGGAGATTTCAGCTCAGGTATTGAAAAGTTTTACTCGTTTGTTTAGTCTTTTGAAGAGTTTGTTGAGATTCTGTTGAATAGTTTGTTGGGATTCTGTTTAGGAGTTTGTTAGAAGTTTGTTACCATTCTGTTGAAGAGTTTGTTGGGATTCTGTTTAGGAGTTTGTTGGGATTCTGTTTTGGAGTTTGTTGGGATTCTGTTGTAGAGTTTGTTACGATTCTGCTAAGGAGTTTGTTACTATTCTGTTAAGAGTTTGTTAAAAGTCTGTTGAAGAGTTAGTTTGTTGCCATTCTGTTGAAGAGTTTGTTGAGATTCTGTTTGAAGAGTTTGTGCTTGTGGTTTGTTAATTATGGGTTTTGTTGTGTGTTTGTAGGTTTTGAGGAAGCTTGTGGATGATGCGTCGAGGTTTTTGAATGAGAAAGTGACCAAGGCTGTTGTGACTGTGCCTGCTTACTTTAACGACTCGCAGAGGACAGCTACTAAAGATGCTGGGAGGATTGCTGGGTTGGAAGTTTTACGTATTATTAATGAGCCTACGGCTGCTTCTTTGGCTTACGGGTTTGAGAGGAAAAGTAATGAGACTATTCTAGTGTTTGATCTTGGTGGTGGTACCTTTGATGTCTCAGGTACTTGACGTTAAAGTATTTGGATTTTACCGTCTGTTGATGTTTAGCATCTATTAAAACGTGTGTTTTATTATGTTTCTTGTTATACAGTGCTTGAGGTTGGTGATGGTGTGTTTGAAGTACTTTCCACTTCTGGGGACACCCATTTGGGTGGTGATGACTTTGACAAGGTTATTAAATGGCTTAATCAGAGAGCTTTGAATCTGTTTATTTGGCGTGTTAATTGACAGATTTAACTTTTGAATGCAGAGAGTTGTTGATTGGCTTGCTTCAACCTTCAAGAAAGATGAAGGCATTGATCTTCTGAAAGACAAAC